CTTTCACAACACATAACTTGAAACTCCATACTACTTTCACAACTCTACACTCAAATCATAACCAAATACATAACAAAAACATTAAAATATTTAAAAATATTTTTATAAAATAGAGTTTGAATTTATTTTTATAAAATATTTTAAAATTTAAAAAATTAAAATCGTAATATTTAAAAATTAAAATATTTAAAAATATTCAAAAAATTAAAAAAATCATAACATATTTAAATATTAAAATATTTAAAATCTTAACAAAATTAAAATATTTAAAATATTAAAATATTGATTTGAATTGAGTTTTGAATCATGTGTTTGGTTATGAGTTTTGAAAAATAATGATTACGTTTTAAATTGAGTTTTGACAAATAAGTATAGAATTATGATTTGAAAATTCAAAACAAACACTATACTTAAATCAATAAATAAAATTATAATTTAAGAGACTTACCAAACGGAACCTGAATCTTTCTATTCAAAAGCTCATGCTTAGATTAATTAATTTTCAAATCGGTGATTACCACTCGGTCCAAAAATAGAGTTGACCACTGTATTTGCGTACAAACCAAAATTCAAACTCTGACGGAAAGTTGACCGAATCTCCTACCTGTTGCGTCTTTCCATTATAAGTAAATAACATCATTCGCAACATCAATTAATTAACTGTAATTCACACACACACTCTCTCTCTCTCTCTCTCTCTCTCTCTCTCACTCTCTCATGACCTCTCTGTTTTGTTTCTCACATTGCTCCTGTTCCTGTTCTTGTTCCTAGGCATGTGATGCACACAACAATAGGAATCCTTTAGAGTGATGCTCCCTTAAAAATTCAATCAAATATCTCACATGGGCATGAGACCTACATAATGTGAGTCTCACATTCATGTGAGACATTTGATAAAATTTTTAATAGAATTTTTAAGATATGTAACATTTTTAAATCCTTTAATAGTTGATGATGATAAGTTTGATAGAGCGGATGTAAACTTTATGCACCTGATTTGTAACCACACGTCCAATCAATGTCGATCACAATCCTTCTTGAAAAAAATCTAAATCCCCAATATATTGATTTGTGATTATGTATCAATTTTAAACAGTAAATAACAATTCAAATCAAACAATCAACACCATGATTTAACGCGGAAAACTATAATTGGAACGCCTCTAATTGCAATAAAAAAATCACGTGCTACAACCACAAAACAATCCACTAAGAAGATCAAAAGGAACTAACAAGTGTACCCTCAATTACCTAACGAATTCATGCCTGAATTGAACCGACCCCCCTCTTCCACCACTATCTTCACCTTGGACTTGTCTTACCCAATGTTGAACCCACAACGTTGATGTCGAATGGACGACGATAAGCCACTCCAGAATCCACCGAAGAATAACTTTCTCTTTTGTATTGAATGAAACAAACAATCCTTTGATGTATACTCTTCAAAGCATGAGTTAACTCAAACAAACATCAAAGAAACTGGCAAAGAAGTTTCAGATGAAAACCCAAATACTTAAGAAAAAGATCTAGAAGCTGTACCCTAGAAACTGAATTAATCGCAAATTTATAGAAAACAAAATTACGATCTCCGCTCAAGCGCAAAAATGACTGCTCAAGCGGGCTGACTAAAACGCGTGTTTCAGAACATGGATCTACGCTCGAGCATAAGAAGTGCCGCTCGAGCGCAAAAACACAACTCCCAATACTTTTGTAGACAGTTCAAACTTCTGGAACCAGAGATTCTTTGCTCGAGCACACAAATGGCCGCTCTAGCGGTCAAGCAACTTCGACTGCATTTTTTACTTCAGGGGCGTTGCACCTCGACCCCGACATATTCAGCAAAGTGGCAAACATAAAAGAATTAACATCACAAACTCCTTTGCAAAGACACAATTAGGGTTTGATTCACTTCTAAATACTCATAACCTCACTGAAATAAAAGAACGAATAAAATTACGCCTGAAGGGAGTTTTGTCAAATGGAATTGCCAATAACAAAAACCTAACACTTCCCAAACACATCACTGTGGGAAGGCACCTCATTGACAGCTTATTGGAAGTAACAAAATGAACTTCTTGAAAAGTTGGCAAGCAAATCAATGGCTCAAAAAATAAAATTGGAGCATTTGGTCAAACAAATATAATTCCTATTTTTGGAGTTAAAAATGTAAAAATATACATATTTGTCCATATTTTAAATTTAAAAATACAAATGTATATGTATATGCTCATTTTCTAATTTGAAAATGCAATTATATAAATATATGTTCCCATTTATTAATTTCAGAATGGACAAATATAAATAATTGTTTCTGGTTTTTTAATTTAAAAGTACGTTACTATAAATATACACCCTCATTTATTAATTTAAAAGTGCAAAGTTACAAAAATGTGTCCTCTTTTTTTAACATAAAAGTGAAAACACAAAATGTAGGATAAATATTATGCAGTAGATAAACAGATTCAAGCATAACTTTTATCTGTTGAATCCAAAACAATGAAAGTTAGGGTGAATCACGTGCTTCCAAATCATGAATTCGAACCTTCTAGCAGTGAAGTGATTACTACGATGTGAGAATCACCCTCACAATCCAATGTACAAAGGCTACTGTTCTTGAATGACAGAGAGATAGAGAGAGAATATTTTTTGAATGATATTTGATTAATCAAAATACGTTATACGCATTTGATTTGGTCACCAAAGAATCCCTAACTACTCACATTTTTATCTTCCTGATGAGATGGGTTTGTTAGGCTCATATCCTTATCCTTTGGATAAGGTGGTTAATTCAAATTATATGGGTTTCCTGATGGGTCATGCCACCATGGGCGTCCAAACCTTGGTCTGAACCCTTCAAAACCCTCGAGCAGCTAGGCTTTCAACAACAGCACTTCTTCGACAATGGCAGTGAGTAAAAGTTTTTCCGACAATCCCAATACCATGACACTACACTAAAATTGGGCTTTAGCGGCGCTTTTTTACCGCCCTTAAAACCTTTAACGGCGGTATTAACGGCGGTTTCGTTACCGCCGTTTATGCGCGTGTCGGAAAAAGTACAACGGTCGTAAAAGGATAAATTACCGTCGTTAAAAGTGACGATTTTTTACCGCCGTAAATAGGTTCAGATTTTTTCAAAAATTAATTCTTTCTTCTTGCACTCCCCAAGTTTTGAACCCAAGACCTCTCATTCACTCACACCAACCACTCTGCCATAGCCATTCTTCATGAAATATATTCCCTAAATAAATATTTAAACATTACTTTTACTTTATTGTAGATGGTTTCACCGGAGCTCGTCGGAGTTTCGCCGGAGCTCCACCGGCAAAGACCGTCGTCATTAACGGCGGTAATGATTGGGCATTAGCGGCGGTTTTGTTACCGCCGTTAAAGGCGGGCATTAGCGGCGGTTTTGTTACCGCCATTAATAGAGGGTTTCATTACCGTCGTTAAAGACACTTTAGTGGCGATTTTTTTAACGGCGGTAACGAAACCGCCGTCATTAACGGCGGTTTTCGTTACCGCCGTTAATAGTACCTTTAACTACGGTTTTCGTTACCGCCGTTAATGCCCTGTTTTGGCGTAGTGTGAGATAAATGGAGCATCATAATGTAAGTTCGGAGGAGGTTTATAGCTTGGATGATATTCGTAGCTCGAATGAGGTTGATCTTGTATAATGATAGACTTTTTAAAAAACAAAGAAAAAAAAAAAAAAAAAAAAAATTGTGAAAACTATGTCTTTTTTTGTTTTTTTTTGTACTGAACTCCGAAACATATGCGGAAAAAAATAGCAATACAAGGCTGAATTAAAGGCATTAGTTCGGCAACGTCTAATCGAATATTATTCATATGTTCGGCACTTATTCAAACTTTTTTATTCATATATTCAGCACTTTGGATGTAACCTTAATGCATACTTATGTTTTGGTTATATGATGAACTTTAGTTTTATTTGTTAATCAAACTGGTTGATGCATACTTATCTTTGCTTGTTAAACTTTGTTGGGTTAGATTTGTTCACAAACGCAAGACTTCACATTTTTATAATGTTTGGTAACACATGTCCAAATATGTACAAATTATTTCGTAACACAGGTCTAAACATAGGTAATTTGTTTAACAACACAGGTCCAAACATGACAACGGAGAGATTGATGACAAAGAGAGATCGGCTTCAGCTGTGATAGAGATCAACAACGATGATATCAATGGCACAACTCTCTCAATGGTCAGAGAAAGATTAGTGACTTCAACAGTGAGAGGAAGATTGGTGAGATCAACTGTTAAGAGTTTTGGGAGATAGAGGGTTTTTAGGGGTGTGCATTTTGATGGGTTTGATGTTTTTAGAAGGATAATTTTAGTATTATTTGGGGGTTGTTAGAAATGTCTAGGATTTTAAATTTTATAAGTGGGGTTCTAAAGTATTAATTAGGGTGCTAATAGTAACACTCTTTAAAATTTGAAATTCTAAGAACTTTAATTAAAAGAAAACTTTTGGTGCCGTAGAACTGACACAAATATATAGGGAGATGTATGTCTAATTTTTTGTTTATATAAATAAATATTTGTCCTCATTATTTTTTTATTTTTATTTTTTTGCCGTGAGAAAGTTATATATCATTTTATGATTTATGTTGTAAAATTTTCTTGTGTTGTTAGGAAGTGCATATAATAGCATCTCCTAATTTTGTAAGCAGTTCACAAGTTTTCAAAAATAAAAATAAATGGTGGTACTATATGCATCAATTAGTACATTAATTAGTATACTAATATAGTCATGACATTGTCATTTTAAAACTATGAGTCCACCCATTATACAAATTGTAAAAATTCAAAACATCTAAAATTATGTTACGTCATCCGTTAGTACACTAATTGATATACTAATTTATGCATATAGTATTATTCAAAAATAAATATTAAACTATCTTTTTCTTAAAATTTTAAACCCAACTTTTATAAATATAAACAGAAAGTTAAAAGTTGTTTAAGAAAGCCCGTACAGTTGAGTAACTCTGCATGTTGCATTGTAACAGTCGCAATACACGTCTAAGGTTGACTTCTTGTTGCAATCGGAAGCTGTGAAATTGCTACTAGCACCATCATACTTTGATGTCCTTTCAATGTATCCTAATAGGGCATTGATAGCATCCGCTGCGAATGAATAGAGGAACAGCACCATAAATAAATAAATAATTGTAAGATTTAATTCTGTTAACAAATATCAATTTAAACTTGAACTTTTAAAATATTATCAATTCTAACTATTTGTTAGTTAATAAGAACAACTTAAATAATTAAATTACTTTTTACGTGTGATGCTGGATAACGGTAGCGATTATGGACCAAGGAAGTAATGAGATGGGTGGCAATGAGCTAGAGAAGGAGAGAAGTAGCGTTGTACGGAAAAAAATGATAAGAGGGATGACGCTGGATTGGGAAAGAGAGGGGGTGGTGATCGATGAACGATGATAAAGGTTGGAAGAAACTATCAACAAAAATAAAGGGAAAAAAAGTGATTAAATTATCTATATTGTCAATTCTCCAGTAATTACAACTAACGAATACAAACCCGCTAGAATTAATACTATTTTAAAAGTTTAGATTTAAATTAAAATAATTAAAAATGTAAAAATTTAATTTGTTACTAAGATCAAATCTAACAATTTTTTTTTTCTTTTGTAATTTCTTCAATAAATAAATATGATTGATTTGATTTTAGAAGCAAAAACAAATGCGTTGAAAAAGAAAAAGGAATATATATACACCCAAGCGTTTTTTACGGTAATGATTGGTGGCCATAAATTCTGTAGTTCAAATGATTTGAAAATGCCAAAACGACGTCATTTTGGGTACAAAACGACGTCATTTTGGGTACAAAACAACTCCGAAAATGCCAAAACGATATCGTTTTGACATTTTCGGGCCATTTGAATCACAGAATTTGTGGCCACCAAATATTTTCCCGTTTTTTATCCATGCAAATACGTGAGTTATATAAATAAAAAATTTAAAATTCAAGTAACAATTATTAACCGTTATTATTTTGTGGATTAATTTTTAAGTGATAATGGAATTATGGATAGATTTAAAAAAAAAAAAAATTTGATAAAGGGTATTCTTTACATACAAAAAAGTAAAAGTTTCGAGTTGTATAATAGTACAAACTAGCACATGTTGTTTAAAAATATATATATATTTGATCGTAGGATAATAACTTTAAATTTAATTTAAAATTAAAATTAAAGTATGATTTTAATTATTTATTTTAATAATATTGGGCGCTATCATTCTATAAAAAATGTTATTCGAATACTTATATATATTAATTTTAGTTAAATTATTTTTGTATTTTGATAATTTTAGTTCTATTATATTATAAAAGTGTAGCTATCTTATAATATTTTTGTATGATAAAAATATTAGGAAAATTTGGCTATAAACCCCCTTTACCTTCCTTTCATTGTTAAAAGAATTAAAAAAAAATTATACTTGCTAAACCCCCTCATAATTATAAAGTCTTGCATAAAAAATAAAATTTATTATTCAAATATTTTATCAGACTATTATACCCTTAACTAAATCTTCTCACCTTCTCCACCCACTCTCTCTACTATTCGAATACTTATATATATTAATTTTAGTTAAATTATTTTTGTATTTTGATAATTTTAGTTCTATTATATTATAAAAGTGTAGCTATCTTATAATATTTTTGTATGATAAAAATATTAGGAAAATTTGGCTATAAACCCCCTTTACCTTCCTTTCATTGTTAAAAGAATTAAAAAAAAAAATTATACTTTCTAAACCCCCTCATAATTATAAAGTCTTGCATAAAAAATAAAATTTATTATTTAAATATTTTATCAGACTATTATACCCTTAACTAAATCTTCTCACCTTCTTCACCCACTCTCTCTACCTTCTCCGTCTCTCTCCTCCTCCTCTAAACACAGCTTCTCTTCATAGCCATGTTAGAGGCCACCCGTCAATCCGTCCCTCCTGTCGCCGCCGTCCGTCGGTCTCACTCCATCCATCGCCGCCACTCGTCAATCTCTCTACATTCGTTACCGTGGTGCTACTCCTCTTAGCTCCTCTGCCACACCACCGCCGCCGCCTTCGAACATCGCGGTTGTTCTCTCTCTCTCTCTCTCTCTCTCTCTTCCTGTCGTCGTTCGCAGCTACAATGACGTTAATGGTGTCATTGTGAGCTTTAATCGACTGCAAACATTGACGATCATTGAAGGGTTAGGGTTTCGAACTCCCCCACGAAATCGATAAGAGATATAGAGATAAGAAAAGCTAATTGTATCTCCTTATCTGCCTCTTTCTTTGATCACTCTATTTTCTATTTTATCTTTCCTCATCTCTCTCTCAAAGGTCAGAAAGCAATTTGAGTTGTAGATGTCGCCTTTGTTTCTAATTATTATTATTTTTAATTTGTTAATAGATCTAAGAATAAAATTTGACTCTGATTCATTCATTTAGTATGTATTTTATTTGTTGTAACAGTAAAATTTTACTCTGGTTAAAAACATGTTGATTTACTTACCGATAAAAAATTTTACTTTGAATCATAGTAAACTTTAATTTGATTCAGAATAAAATTTTATTATGATTCAAAGTAAAATTTTACTCTGAAATTTTACTCTGGTTAACAACATGTTGATTTGCTTAATAATATAAAATTTTACCATAATTCAAAGGTTCATCATAATCTGAATAGTGTGAATTGTGATAGATGTTATCCTTGTAAAGGATAGAGTCCAATGAAGTGAGACTTCTAGGGAAAGTTAGACATTGATCATTATAAAAGTAAGGCACCCTTGTGAGTCTAAGGGATATAATTTATTCTGTGAGCTCTTGATTTGAGTTAATGATATCTTATGAGATAAGTTAACTGACTTGATTGTTGGAGTGCCTCCGGATGGACGAACCACCGCGATATTCTTAGCTTCTTGTTGGCAGGTGGTTGACTCAATCTATTCTGTCAGTGCTCTCTAACTAAGTTCCCTATTTGATTGTGTGGTCAAAAATCAACACCCACAATACCTATTTGTAAATCTTATGATACGATGAAAAAAAATTCATTATAATGATAATATAACATGTCAATGCTGACATAATATTATCATTAAATTATAACCTTTCATGTAACTATAAGGTATCCGATTATACACATGTGTTAGTGAGTTGAGTTAGACAAGTGGTTATATTTATGTAGATGGGTTTATCCAAGTCCAAATCCTTTGCCGGGTTTTCTACGGGGCTCCCTGCGCTACTTAAAAAACGAAGTCGTTTTTGCCTTATAAAAAAGGAAAACTTTCCTTTGCCCTCTTTTGTTTTCTCTCTCAGCTCTCAAATGTTTGAGAGACTACAACAGAGGGACGAAGAGGTGACAGGCGATCGGACGGCGAGGCAACGATGACAACAAGACAGCGGTGGCGGCAGGTGCAACACCGATCAAGAAAAGAGAGTCCAAAACATGTTTTCCAATGCACACTCCATAAAGAAACTAAGATGATTGTTCGGTCAAACAATTGAGAATCTAAGGTTTTGGACGAGACCAAACAAACCTTATCTGTACCCAGATCTCAATCCAAAGGTTGGCTAGATAGAAACCAAATCCTAGTTCTCTCCTTTCTTGTTTTACCTCAATTTAAAAAATTGATTTATTTCCCACATACAACAGTTCTCTTCCTAAGCCCACAATCCCCGAATGTAATATGTATTTAACTTTTAATTTGAAAAGTTTCTTTTCTCATAAACAACTATAACTGTATAACTAATCATATTATATACACAATCCATGCATTTGAGAAATAATTCTCCATTAATTTCAGATGTGAATTTTTTTTATTATTGTAATATTATTATTATTGTTTTGAGCTAGTGTAATACCTAAAAAAAATCTGAGCTCATTTTTTCACTCTTTTTTTTTTCAGAGATCCAAAGCGGTGGCTTTGTCGGGTTTGGGCAAACTCGGGCCTGCATTAATGATCGATCCGATGCTTCTCTCTGCAAAACTGTACAAGATCGATGCCACTGGGAGATGGGTTTGGGTTTGATTGAGGATTTGGGTTTGGTCCGGTTGAGGGTTTTTTTTTTACAGGTTGGTGTTTCCTCATCTATGTGTTTATCATTATTTTTAGTTGCATGATTTATCAACATCATATTTCTTCAATTAAGTTTTCGTATTTTAATCTGTATGAACTTTCTTTTTTCTTCTTTCTTTTGGTACATTCTTATCATAAGTCCTCTCTCACTCGTTGGTGAGTGAATAATCACAGAAAATTCATTGATCAGTTTGCATTTGTTGATACTCTCAGCATTCTTCCACATGCATGCTACTGCTCATGTAATCCCAATTTATTTATATTATTCTTGTTGCTCTTCTTTTGTCTGTCGTCCGTGCATTCTGTTACTTGCTTCGACTATTTGAATTAAAATTGCTCAAATATGTAAAAATAACTGGTGGTTTTGGTTAGTCTTTTTGTTTATTTTTTTATTGTGTTGCACCTCTCTCAAATTGAGAATCTAATTTGAGAGAGTATTTAGGTTTAGTGTGTTCATTGTGAGCTCAATTTTAGTAATTTGAATCGTTTACTTTTTAGAATTTATTGAGAAGAATAAACATGTAAAAATCAAGATGATTGAACTTTGAAAGATATATATTTGAATCACATTTGGCTTAAAAAATAGACGACATATATAATTTCGAGAATTGCTGTTTACTTTTTTTAAGACAAATGTGATTCAAACATATAGCTACTAAAATTCAATCATCTTGATTTTTTTATATATTTACTGTTCTCAACAAATCCTAAAATATAAATGGTTCGAATCACCTAGATAGGACTCATAATAAACCCACTAAATTCCAATGTTCTATCAAACTGAATTTCCAAACTGAGAGAAGTCAAACTCTTTTTTATGTGTGTTAGATATGGGTGTTGTGGTGTTGTTTGATTTGGTGATTATTTATTTTATTTATTTATTTATTTTTGCTGCAGACAAATTCTTTGATAGAAGTCCCAAGAGTGTGTTGGGTCTCTTATGATTCCAACGGTTGACATCTTACAGTAAATGTCTGTGAAAAAAATCAAATTAATCATATATAGGTAGTTTGATTAATTAAATTTTTTTTACATATATTTTATTTAATGTATTCTAAAAATTAAATCGTTCAGATCATTTGAATGGATCCAAAATAGATTCAATAGGCCATGCAATAGTAGTAGTTGTGCAGAGTGCACAACCACCTCAAACTCTATGTGGCCCATTATGATATTGTTCATATTTTTGAGTTATGTATAAATTATTCATTATAAAAATTTAATTTATTCAATAACTAGATATAATCATATTTGTTTTTTTTTTTGTTTTAATTTTATTTTAAAAGGCACATCAATTATAATTTTAAGAATAAACTATAAAAAAATACAATTAAATTATATGATTTTCGTTAATCAGATGTACGCATAAACTTAAACGATGACAACAGGGATGATTTCTTGGACAGTGCGTGTTTGGGGTTTGATTTTTGTTAATTATTCTTTTAGTTTTTTTGGCTTTTTTTTTTTTTTGGCTTTTTTGGGCTTTTATTTATTTATTTATTTATTTATTTTTGAACTTGTTGAAAAAATAACACTAAAGGAAAAATTATTTAATTAATTTATTTTTTTTTTTTTTGGCTTTTTTGGGCTTTTATTTATTTATTTTTGAACTTGTTGAAAAAATAACACTAAAGGAAAAAAAAATCTTTTATTTATTTAATTAATTAATTTATTATTATTTTTTTTAAAAGTTGCCCTCAAACACTCATTTAAGATAACAGTTGCATAACCACCTATTCTTTCGTCTTCTTTCTTATTTTTATTTTTCCCTACTTTCAAATCTCAATATTTTAACTTATATTAATCTCTTAAGGAAATTTTATAATATACACATTTAAAAGACACATCTTAAGAAAATTGTGACTCTGTATGGTAAAAATTACAAATATTTATGATGTGTTATATTAATTTGTGATAAAAGTTACAAATGTCCGTTATAGTTTGCACAGTAAAATAAAAGTAATATGCTCTGTGGTGAGCAACAAATACTGTTTATGGTAAGATATTATGACATTTTATAATTTATATTACAAAATTTTATGGTGCTTGAAAGTGGGAATTATGCTAGACTATTGGACCGAACAACGTGTATATTTAGCCGGACAGATGGGCTCAGGTTTGGGTCGAACAGTGGATGTTCAACTGTACAGATGGCCTGGCCCTGGTGTTAGTCGGGCAGAATTGGGTTGGCGTATTGAACGTACAAGCTTTGCATAGTTCTAGTATGGGCTTTGGCCGGCCTAGCATGAATTTTGACCCGCCTAGCTAAGTCTTTGACTGGTGGTAGACCTCGCATTGGTATGAGCTGAGCAGACGTAGAGCGACTCTATTGATCGGCTTTTGCTCGATTGACCTAGTTAAAGTTACCAAGACTTGGTCGATATAGTTTCGTAAACTGTATGCAACCGAATTGATGGTTTGCTCAGTTCGGCTGCCAATTTAGTTGGAATGCTTCACTTGGATTTGTATTGTCAAGGTACTAAAGGATAGGTGTTATCATTTAAGAAGTTGGCTCTCCTAGTAAGATTCTAGAAAGAGGAATTAGAGTTTTATTAGGTGTGTTTGGTTTGAGTTTTTTGGATTAAGTTTTTTGAAAATTGAGTTTTTTAATTTCGTATTTTTTTTGTTTTTAGTGAATATTTTTAAAATTTTAAACATTTTTTTACTTTTTTAGATGTACCTTACTTAGATGTATCTAAAAAGTAAAAAAAATGTGAATTTTTTTTTTAAAAAAAATTAAGAAATACATAAAAATATAAAAAAATGTACTGAATTTTTGTATTTTTTTTTGTATTTTTGGTATTTAGTAAATTTTTAAATGATTTTTTTTACAATTTTTTTTTTTACTTTTTAGGTGTATTTATGTTAGGTGTGTCTAAAAAGTAAAAAATTTGCATAAAATATTAAAAAAATTTAGTAAAAACAAAAAAATACGAAAAATAAGAAAGTAAAATTTTCTGAAAACTGTTTTTAGAAAAATGGAACCAAACATAGTGATTAAGATTCTATCATGTGGAACATATAAAGGCTCAGAGTTAACCTCATCCAGATAATTCAACTTTGTTTACAGAACTCAAAGTTTTCCCTATATTGATTTTAAGAGGCTTAACTTAAGTATCAGAGGGATTTTTCGACATATACTCACCACTGATAAGTTTATCTGAATTGTGAACGCAGGTCTACGCAGGTCTTATGAAGTCATTTCAAGAGAGATTCAAATTTAATCACAAGGTGTATGTGTGCGACAAATATTTCATACTCATATAGTGCTATTATGAAGACATATACATTATTTTAAGACATTACATGATAAGTCATAATTGAAGATTATAATAATCGTAACTGAAACATATTATATATACCCAAAAGAAAATAAAAATCATAAAATAAATTAATGACACCCCGTATAAATTTTTGTTATAAAGTATAATAGAAGTGCGTAATTAGCAAATGTATGAAGAAAGAAGTTGGTTTTCATATAACAATATATATCATTAAAATAAGATAACTCTATTTTATTACCTTCTTCTTGGGGCAGAGTTCCGTTTGAAGTGGAAAAGGCAATTGTTTTGCAAGTCAGCGCCGAAAGCAGCAAAATTGAACATAACAACCTGCATAGTAACAGATGCTCTGTCATCTCTCTCTCTCTCTCTCTCTCTCTCTCTCTGCGTCAAAAACAGATGATGGATTTAATTAAGCAGGGTGATGCTCTTTAAATATAAAATGTATTTTATAATTATTTGAAAAGCAATTAGGTAAAGCTGCTTTTTATCCTTTAACTTTTAAAAGGAGATTCCGATTATGACCTATCAAGAAGCATCAAATAAAAATAAATAAATAAATAAATAAAACCTCTTTCCCGGAACTACCACCCAAAATTCTAACTTTTAAGTGTCAAAATATGATATTCATAGATAAAATTTGACAAAAATAATATACACTGACATATATATATATCTATCTATCTATACTATTATAAAGTGAACACATAATATGGTGTCTTGAAGCTTGCTTTACTCTCCTCATGCCATGTGGCAGTGTTTTTTTTTTTAAAAAAAAAAGTTAAACAAAGAGATGGGCAAGGCTTGAACCCATGACCATGGGTTAAGTATGAGGACTCATACCACTTAAGCTAAGTACACATTATAATATTAATTTCATTATTATTTTCTTTTATCCCTATTTATTTAGTTTGCACACACATCGTGTGTGTGCCCAACCGCTAGTATATATATATGTAAACCCCATCAATGGCTCTTTTGATTTAAGTGACAATATCAACAATTACCACATTATTCTGTATTAATATTAGGGCAGATTACCGTCCTTATAATTTGAGACTTGCATTATTTTAATTTTTGATATTTCAATTGTGATATATTTGACTATAAATTTTAAATCTCGTTTTAAATAAGGACAATTGAAGATATCATTATTTAATTTCAAAGGCAAAACCATCAATTTGATAAAATATAAATTAGTTTGACAAAAATAAATGTCAAAAAATTATTTTTAAATTTTTAAAAATTATTTCTACCCACTAAAGATAAAATTATATGAAAATAATAAATGTTTTACATATTTATTTATTTTTATACTAAATTAATTTTTAGTATGTATTTGGATGATAATCATGTAATGTATTGTTGTTTTTGTTGATGTTTTTCGATGGTTATCATCTAATAGACGATTGTATTTTTTGTTAACTGATATTTTTTTTAATGGTTATCATATAATGAATGGTTATTAGATTTTTAATGTATAATCGATATGTTTAATATGTGAAATGTTTTTAGTTTTGGATTTTTTGATTTAATGGATTAATTTAATAATGATATCAAAGTTGTCGTCATGTTTGACTTTCGAAAAACTAGAAACTAATTTAATGAAAATAAATATCGAAAAAAATTATTTTTACCTTTCCCAAAGATAAAATTATATAAAACTGATGTGTTTTTAATTTTTTTTGCCAATTTATTTTTTAGTTTATTAGAATATTTTTCTAAAAATAGATGCTAAAAACCAAAACAAACAGAAATTTATAACTAAAAAAGTTTCAGCATTATTCATTAAAAAAATACTATTAAATTTCAAACAACATACAAATTAACTAACACAAAATAAGTTGTCTAACAAGCTTTACCCTTTAAACATATTTGATTGTTTTATTTATAATAAGAATTAAAATTTAAGGTTACATATATCACAATTAAAAAGTGATGAAACAAAGTAACATAAAATCTAAATCACGTGGACTATTAATGTAATTCACCTTTAATATTATGTACTACTCTTTGCAATATGACTTGTAAAATTGCATAGACTTCCTCTAAAATTATAAATATAGTTAAAGCCTTGCGTGATATAGACTTAAAATGCTTGTTTTCTCCCTTCATAATTCAAAAGAATTACTCTAGGAATCATTCTGGGTGAATGGTTGTGGGGGTAAAAATTAAATGTGTAGTGTGTGATTTATATGTAAAATAAATTTAAATAATAAGATAAAAGTTATAAATAATTTCTAAATAATTAAGTCTGGGTTCATAATATTGCTAAATTCAAAAAACAAAAGGCTTAGAAGCCTATTTTTTTATATATATTTTTACTGATAAATTATAGTTTGCCCCTTTGAATTTGACAATTTTCTTACTTTGACCATTAATTTTTTTTCTTCTTCATTTTGGCCCCTAACATTTGTAGTTTTTTGCAATATATTTTCAACACAAACTTCTGTCCAATTTTGGATGGAAAATGCTACATGGCACATGTCAAAATGATTAAATTCTCCTTTGCTCCCTTTAAGTTTCATAGTTTTTCATTTTGACCTTTAATGTTTGTAATTTTTTTTCAATTTGCCCCCAAAACCAATTTTTGTCCAAATTTATAAGATCCAAACCCAAACCCCAAAATTCTAACCCCTATCTCCTTTTCCTTTTCAAATTTATCCACAAACTTTCATTGCTTCTTCAGTCTTCTCTTCTTTGCCCCAACCTTTAGCACCTCTCTACCTCCATCAGCTCCTTCTGTCCCCTTTCTTCATCATCTCACCATGTACAACGATCAATGTTCAATTACACCCAAATACCTCTTTATTTGGGTGAGCTTTTTGTAATTTGTTTTCTAAAAAATAGAAAAAAATAGTTTAGTGAAAAAAAGACCAAAATATTCATATAATTTTGGGGTGGTTGGAATATTTTTTGAAAATTAATAAATATATTTTTTGGTATTTGTATTTTTCAAATTGTTTCTAATTATTCCAAATAAAAATAAAAATAAATAAAAACAAGTTACGAAAACTCCACAATTTTTAATATAATTTATTTTTATGCAAAATGGATACCAAAGTGGCATTTTTCCATCCAAAATTGGACAGTACTTTATTTTGTGTGTAAATTTACAAACATTAAGGGGGCAAAGTGGGAAGAAAAATATTTTAAGGGCAAATGTGAAAAAAATGTGAAACTTAAGGGTGCCTCTATTTACACATCACTAATTTACTCATCCTACACCATTTTTTTTAATTACTATTCTGTCCATAAAGAGAATTACCAAAATATCCTCTTCTTCTCTATCTCTCTTTTCTCTCTTCTCCGAATCCCTAACGAGTAGCTCCTTCTTCCGCCGCCGCCGCCAGTGACTTCCCCATCTCCTGCTGCTGTCAACCTCTCTCCCTCATCCTCCCGCAGCCGCCAACGTCTCTCTCATCTTCTCCCTCTATCGCAAGCACTCCCCCACAACTTAGATTTTGCGATCTTCTCTTTCGGTAAATCGCACATCTCTCGCTCGCTTTCTCTCTCTCTCTCTCTCTCATGCTTTTGTGGAAGGGGGTTTTGGTGGCAATGGGGAGGGGGTGGAAGATCTATGGTGCCACTGCAAACCCTAGCCGATGCCAGTGATGACGTCGCCACTCCACTAGCTTCGTGCCATCCTCTCCATCCCTCTGCGCCACTCTTGCAGCACCTCTCCCGTCAGCTTCCCTCTCTAGCCCCCTCCCTCCGATACCCTTCTCTCACCATTCTTTCCCTTATTCTTCTTCCTTTTCCCTTCGCCTCTGAAACCCTAAATCTCTACCCTCTGAAACCTTAGATCCGAAGTGGAGGAGGTTGAAGGGCAGATCGCAATGGTGGCTTGAAGAAGAGAGGCCAAGGGGGAGGGGCTAACACCGGCGCCAGTGACAGAGCTGGGTTGCAGGTGGTGGCTGTGGTGGGGTGTGTGATTAAGGGTAAAAATGGAACATTGTGTGTGTATTGAACAAATTTATTATTTATTAAATTATTAAATGTGTGAATTAAGTATTGGTGTGTCTTGAGATGATATGTTGTGTGTAAATAGAGGCACCCGAAACTTAAGGGTACAAAGTGCATTTACCCATTCTTATGACATGTGGCTACATGGCACCACGTGGTAGCCAATGTGGTATTTTCCTTCTAAAATTGGATGGAAATTTGTTTTGGAAGTAAATTAGAAAAAGATTCCATATGTTATGGGCCAAAATGGAAAAAAAAAAAAAATTTACTTTAAAAACCAAAGCAAAAAAATCTTGAAACTTATGAGACAAAGTGTAATTTATCCAATTTTTTTAGTTACGATATTGCACGATTTTTAGGGGGATTTGGTCGAAAGACTTTGGTTGATAGGGAAGGAAGATAACTATATAAGTAAACAAGCTAAACAGGCCAATCTGCAGATAGGGCTAATGTTAGCAAACAGGCCTTTGATAGGATTCATTTTCCATGGGTGAAGTTACCGATTTTGTTTTTCAATATAAATTATTTTAATGCTTTGCACAGACACGTACTTTCATAATAGTTTCATTTGTTTGCTTGTACGAGCGGATTTGGGATCCGATGTTGCCTATGTTATTGTGGACGATAGAATGAATTGATGCAAATGGAGTACTATTAACAACCATCTCGCTTGCCAGTCTTTTTGACTGTATTATCAATCACGATTGAATCCCGCTCGCATTCGGGATCGAGCCACACGATAATTTTATTGATATATTTCACTTATTTTTATTTTTTATTTATTTATTTATTTTATTTTTTTGTGGAGGGGGGAGGGAAGAGAAGGGGTAAATTACACTAACCTCACATGAAGTTTGACAAAAAAATATAATTAGCTATATAAATTTGATATAATTATATTGACCTTCATTTAGTATAGTTAAAGTAATCAAAACTTATTTAAATGGTAGATAAATAATTGTACGAGCATGAAATAATCTTCTCGTATAATTCTGTTGACCAAGTTTGCACTCCTCCAAAGTCGTCGCTTTGCTACCTGAAAACACACGTGAGTTGGCTGACGAGTGTGTGCCAGAAACTCCTCCAATGCCTAAGTCAGCAAGTAGACAATAGACAATAGACAATATGCTCTATGTATTTGTGAGTAAGAGTTGCATTATCTGTGCATAGGTTTTGTCATGAACTTTTATAAGTTCTACATTGCACAATCCTAGTAGGACTCTAACTCTCCTTAGCAGAGTTCTCCTAAGAGTATTATATTTAAGGATAATACTTATCCTTAGAACACCCTCCTTACTGCAAGCCAAGTGAGATGGCCAAAACCTTGCTCGGCTAACTGTGCCTAATTGAGTTGCGTTGTGCAACTATTCCTCTGACTGAGCTACACAATCCCTGATTGCCATGAGTTATCCCGCCAAGCTACTTCTAGCTTGGCTTTTTTCATGTAACCGACGTA